GGAGACCAGAACTGGACACAGTATTCCAAAAGTGGCCTAACCAGTGTCCTGTTTTGTTAGGCAAACTCCTTAGTGCATGCTGGTTAAATAACCTCAATAAAATATGATGTTTTATTTGACATTTTCTTATTGGACCTGTAGTTGATTAATAACCCTGTTTAGTTACATGTATTGTTTACTGCCAGTTTCCAGGTATTAGTACAACAGTAGTATTTAGTGATTTGCTTTCACCATAATAGCCAGTGCCTAGAAACCAGCAAAATTAAAATTGCAATAAAGCAGCTTCATATCATTCAGGATGTAATTATGGAAGTTTGTGTATTATAGATGAACAAATAATAATACATCATAAAATCTGACAATCTAAAATTTTAAAGCACTTGGTAAAAATGCCAGTTTTTTTTCTGAACGTAGGTTTTAGCTAGGTTATTTGTATTCCTTGTGATAGGAGACTCTGTGAAGCACCCCTTGTTTCCCTTACATATTGTAATTAGCCACACATGCTCCTCCTCTTAACACCCCACTGAGTCATTCAGCACCCTCTTTTCCCAGACACTTCTTCTACACTCACTCACTCTCAGTCCCTATCTCCCTTCCTGGTCCCCTTTCCTCTTTTTGGTATATTTGTAAACTTGAAATCAGTGGCGCAGTAAGGTTTGAAGCTGCCACTTAGCTTTCTGGCTTAATGCAAAATATCCTGCTTTATCCTGCAATCAGCAGTGATAAAGTCACAGTATTGGCCTCTAACTGTGTGAAATCAATCCATAAACAACCCAGGCTCACTCAAAATGAATGCTGGAAGTGTTTTCTGATGTTTAAGAACAATTTGGGCCATTGAGAATTTGCCTGGTAGGCCCAAGGCTACCAGTGGATTTGGGCAGTCTCCTCTCTAAGAGCACCATTGCAGCTCAGTGCAGAAATTGGGTCATCAAAACATAAATAAGGTCATGACCTATCAGGAGGTTCACAGTTTAGGAATCCCTGTTTTAATTTCTTTCACTTATACAGACCATGGGCCAGATCTTGCTGGAAACCATTAATGTTGATAACATACGCTAAGTAGTAAACAAATCCACTAGCAAATTGAGATATCATTGTTATTGTAAAACTCGACAAATTGTTGAGAGGACTTTTGAAGTAGGGCTGCATTTGTTTATTTTCATGCATACATGAGCTGACTTAGTCTTATTTCCGTGAAGAATATAACCAACTCTCTGCGTTATTGACACCTTCAAGTTTTAAATAAAACATTACAACATACATCCTACAGTTCCCACACTTTGTCCAGGTGCATAAGCTGTTTTCCCACAGTTTTCACAAGCATTGTCTGTGTTTTACCCAAGGTTCATGCTATCTTCCTGATAGTGTGACTCCTACACTTCTGGACTGTCTTCGTACGTTCACTTTTGCAATGTGGCTGAAAATTTAACCCTTAACTAATTGAAACTGATTCAAACTCTTCACCATAAATAACGGAACATAAGTCAATCCATCTTATTACATGACCCCATATTTCCATTCATGAAAAGTCATGCTTTTGTATATACTCCCTTTCACTCCCTTGACTCCCTTTTCAGCCATGGCAAGCAATACTCAACACTGGTAGCCTTAACTTCCTACCCCACAAAAGCTTGTTTTACTTGCTGGTACTCTATACTTTGTGAAAAGGATGAAATGGGTGATACAGACTGTGTTGGGAAGGTGTACAGAAATTTAGAAGATGCCTACCCTTTGTATCAAATGCTGATGACATCCCAAGAAGGTGACCAACCACACCCAGGCAAGCAGTTTATTTTAATGGCATCGAAGTTGGTGCCTCTTTATAAAGAAGTTTCTCCTGAATTTTCTAGTAATTGATTAGTGGTTGTTTTATTTATTTACATTGCCCCTAAACCTATTCTACGTTTACCCAATCAAACCCTTTTAAAATCATAAGAGCTCCCGCAGGTCACCCTTCAGTTTCCTGCTTTATAAAGTGCCCTCAACCAATTTAATCTGTCCTGTAGATGTCCTGTCTCAGTTTTGATGTCATTCCTGAAGTCCAGTGCTTTTATAATATCGAGACGAAAGCTGTTCATTGTAATCAATTGTGGTCTACCAAGGTTCTGTACTAGCTTAATGAAACCCTAGCTTTTCCTTTCTATCCTTTTACATATAAACCTCTGGACATTGTTTTCGATGGACTTTTAATTTACATTCTAGTGATTTATGTATCTGTATCCCTGGATTGCACTGTTTATCAATCCTGTTTAGATATTTTCCAAGGGGTACAGTGTCCCCTTGAGTAACAGGTAAAGCTAGCTGTTGCATGCTATTACAATACAACAGCAACATGTGGTGTTTGCCACTAATAAGATAGTGTCATCAAATCAGAAAGATGTTCTGGCTATCACAGAAATGAGTAAAGTGATATATGAATTTCAGTGCCAGTGTGTTCCTGGTAGGCCATACATCCCAAAGACTGGCGGATGATACCAAACTGCAAGTCCCTTCAGATATTCGCAAGTAAGGTACTGACTGGAGTGGCACGGTAGCTCAGTGGTTAGCACTGCTGCCTCTCAGTGCCAGGTTCCCAGGTTCAATTCCACCCTCAGCCAACTGTCTGTGTGGAGTTTGCATGTTCTCTCTCTGTCTGCGTGGGTTTCTGTTGGGTGCTCCGATTTCCTCCCGCAGTTCAAAGATGTGCAGGTTAGGTGGTTTGCCATGCTAAATTGCCCATAGTGTTTAGGGATGTATAGGTTAGGTGCATTAGCCATGGGAAATGTATGGTTACAGGGAAAGGGTAGGGAGATGGCCTGTTTCCACTGTAGGAATTCTGGGATTCTGTGACTGTACCCAGCCAGCCCATGGTTGCAAAACTATCAACCAATAGAAGTGGGAGCAAATTACTGCAGATGCTGGAATCTGTACTGAAAACAACAAATGTTGGAGATCACAGTAGGTCAGACAGCAATCATGGGGAGAGAGCAAGCTAATGTTTCGAGTACAGATGACTCTTCATCAGAGCGGAATTGAAGTGTGGAGAGGACAGCATTTATTCTATAGTTGGGAGGGGGGTGGTGGGGTGTAGGGGTGTAGGGGTGTAGAGTGCTGGTGGAGAAAAGATGTTGATAGTTTAGATTAAGTGATCCAATCACTAACCACACCTTGACACCAGGTTCGCTCTGACCTGCTGTACAGTCGTGATGACTGTGGCAATGTCTCCCA